GGAGAAGGGGTGTGCGACACGTTTTTCTTCAATGATAGTAGTTTGGGGAAGGGGTTACGCTTCCATTTTATAAAAGTAAACCCTATGAGACAATACTAATTAAAAGCCCTATTATTTTTTTAAAAGCTAGAATCCAATACAAGGAAAAGGACTAGTGACTACAGAATACAGAAATTGATAAAGATGCTGATGGTCAGATTTTTAAGGCAAGCTTAGTATCTTCAAAGACAAAAATCAAGTTTCATAAAACTGCTGTGACAAAGCAACACTGGTTGCTTTTAGCTATAATTGCATCCTTTAATCCTTCTCAATTCAATCCTCTATCAGTTTTCCCACTATTTTTCTCAGAACTGATGTCAAGATAACCAGGCTTTAATTACTTAGTTTTTGTTCGTGTGGCCTTTTCTTTTTTTTTTTTTTAAATAGTAGCATAATACTAATATCTTTCTGGTTCTCCAGAATTTTCTTGGTTTACCTGGTTTTGTTAAAAGACTGACCAAGAATAGCTGAAAAAGACCTCCATGATAACAGAGCATTGAATGAATCTTGGAAGTTCCAAGAGTTGTAACAGGTGAGAGCAGGGAGAATGGAAACTGAACACAGGAAAAGACTGTACTTAGACTACATGAAGGGAAAAGAGCATAGAAGCAGGGGGATAAAACTAGAGCAAGAAGAGGAGACATAGTAAAGAGTAAATTACAAAGGATTCCAATAAAGAGAGCAGCCAGAAGGGAAAAAAGATAATCCAAAAATATTTGGTGCAAAGCTATCCAAACATACCATTAACTCATTGGTATATAATCCTGAGAAAAATGTACAAAACCATGTGAGCAATAAAGATGCAAGCGAACACTAATCACTGACGTCAGCTCCTCTTGTCACAGTCCATTCTTTATAGGTAAAAAAATTAAACAGATTTTGATAAAGGTTTTTACACTTACAAAAATATTCTAAGAAGGGATCTGAAAATCTGAAGAAAATTCATTCATAACAGAAAAACTGGATACATCTGAAGACGATGGATTCTGTGCACTTCATATTGATCATCCCTTCATTTAACTTCGTAATAGAAGACGACAAACTTATAGTAACAAAACTGTGACAACATGTTCTCTGTAAGAGCTCTAATACATTTTTTATTTGATAAGCTCCCTGGAGGAGAGAGCATTTTTGCCAAGACCAGAGACAGATATACCATTTACCTCTCCCAACATAGTAGCTGGAAATTTAAGGTAAGTGTTTCGCGACAGTCTGATGAAAGCTGAAGCAACCGCTATTTTGGTATTAATGCCAAATCAGTAGGCTCTTCTGTTTGCAGTAATGCATTAGAAATCAGTGTGAAACTAAATGTAACCTCTGAATGCAAGTACAAGAACTTACAGTATCAGGTGTTTGTTTACTATTCCCACTTTTCCACTGTCACTGCTAGTGGAATTTTCAATATTATGAATATTCATTGAAGACCTCACTCATAAAACAACTGCCAACTTAGCACCAGACTTAAGTATCTCTGTTTTCCTAACACATTACATATAAGAAACCAGCCAAGAACAAGGTATGGGACAGAAGTCAATCTGGTCCTGCTGTATGTGAAGTTGTGAGCTACTTGTTAACCCAGTCAGTGACATGCCATCCACCCTTAACCCTGATGCGCTCCTTGACGCCTCTCCTGTTCTGCTGGTATTAAGCCTTCATTTTACTGGCAGTAAATGAAACAAAAAACTGTGATTTCTTGAAAAACTCCATAATCTTAACAAAAGTAGTTTCATGAAGTCTAAAGACTATGACCTTATGAAACAGTATCTCTTTGCTTTTAATGAATTATCCTCAAATGTATATTAAAACATACAGTGCCACTTCTTTTGACCTTAATTCTAATGATTAAAAAGAGATACGATATGGATTTATGTCATTCTAAACTGAATCACAGTCAATGAAATGCTAGTATTTCAAAATGAGTTTAGTAACAGATTCCAGAATTAAGGAAAAACACCCCTTTGTCCCAGTGTAGAGTCATTCATCCATAAATCTGCACTTCATTTGACTTTTTCTATAGTTTTGAAATACAAGTCTCATATAGGATAGAGACCCTGCCTTCAAATATAAAGCTCCAGCGTGTCCTCAAATCTGAAGAAACATTGAACCTGAATTCAAACGGTTTGACTTTCATGTTCCAAGTAATTTAACTTGGTTTCCCCTTCTGCTCTCTCTCTCTTCACACATATGGTTCTCTTCCCTCTAACCTTCACCTAATCTTTCTTTCCTGATTACCCCCATCCATGTCTGTATTCCTTTATTCCCCCTTCAAGTAATATCTTTACCTACAGCACACGAATGACAACTATGGCACTATCTTCCTTAAGAAGCACAGGAGTATATTAAAATCTAAATAACCCAAAGGATTTCTAGCAAGCATACAACATGTAAAGCATCTATACTATCTTATTGCTGCCAGATTCAGCTTTTCTTCTTTCCTTCTCACCTACTCTATTAAAAGTGTATTATTGATTTCGCTGAATTAAGTCAATCCAAAAATCTAGCAGCCCACATAATAACTATACACAGCAACGTAGACTGAGCCACAAAATTAAAAATTAATGGAGGAGTGTAAGACACCTATAATTGTTTCAGCCTGCCTGCAGACTCAGAGTAGGCTATTATGCTAATTATGTTTTTTTGCAGTTTTAGACATCAAGGAGGACAGAGATACTAACACAAAAACCCCTCAGAAATCCTGATGCGATCATAAGAATCCAGGAGGTAAGAACTCATCTATCCCCTCCCTGATCCCCTGTTAAACCCTGATCCCAGCAGTGCACATGCACAGCAATCTGACTTCCAAGAGGTTTCAGTCCAATTCACGGTTACCTAATAATTCACACACTCTAAGGCTACTTGTACAATTGGAGTCCTTGTGTGCAGGAGATGGGAATACCGGTTCTGTCACTGAAGTACCACGCACGTGGAAAAGTATGTTTTCAGACATCAGTTACAGTTAACACACAACAAACCAACTGGCTTTATTTTTAAAGGTTATCAAAGAAAGAAAAAGATTCTTTCAAGGACATGTTTGCTCTAGGTGTTTTATTTAAGATCAGTTCCCATGGGTGCACTAGAAACAGAAAATATTTCCAACTGCTCATTTTTCTGAAGTAAATGAAGTTTTATTTTCTCAGTACTCTATGTTCCCTGATAGAAGGAACAATGAAGTTACCATCTACACAGAATAAAGTGGATATTTTTCATTCCCTCCACCCAAGCAATAGAAGGAAAAAAAAAAAAAAATCAAACCACAACTTATTTTAGACTGCAGAAAAATAGAACACAATTTCACTTTTGGGAAACAAAAACAATTTGGCCTATTCATCACTTTTTAATCCAGCAAATTGGAACAGATTTGGAAATAAAACTCTACCATTAATCTAAATTTTCTATTGAGTCAAGGTTTCTGAGTGTTCATCTAAACTAGAAATTTATGACATTTTAATCTGAGGTTTCTGAGTGTTAATCTACACTAGAAACTTATGACATTTTAATCTGAGATTGCTTCCTTGACTTTATAACCTATCTTTCCAAATACAGTCCTTAGTAGCATTTTATTCTAGTTGTCTTGAACTTGCTCAGTTGTTCAACTGGCAGCAATGCCAGTACAATGACTAGTTAAAATCTACAGCTGCCTGTGCAATCCCAACTACCCAGGTCAGCTCTCAACTAATATGGAATTATCATAATTCCTAAGAAGGTCAATGAGACTATTTTAAAGACTAAAGGGAGGATATTGAGAATCCATACCATATTCCGGTCCAAAATTCAGAAAACAAAAAAACCAAACAAACAACAACTCTGAATAGAAGAACATTTGTAGCATTCACTGAATAAAGATAATAAGTATTTTTTAAGTAGCAGACTACTATGGGTATTCTACAATTACAAATAAAATTTGTCATGTTTAGAAAAATATTTTTTAATTTTAATAGACACGGTTACTGCACTACATGAAGTTCTTCACATCTCTTTTCTTGTCTTTTTTTTTTTTAAATACATATATTTTTAACTCTTCATGCAGTAAGAGACCCTCATATTTCATGGAAACAACAGTTTCAAAGAAGTCACCATATTAAATGTGTACCCAAAGAGTACCCAACAGGGAGGATCCCTTGATTCATTACACAACCTTTGCCATTTTCCACTTTCCAAATCCTTCGCAAGTTTATCACTCCTTTATAATCTCACAAGGGGCAATATTGTAAGGTGTGAAGAGCTTCATACCAAATAAACCCACTAGCTACATCTACAAGAAAAAATTTCTTTTTTGTGTAAAATTTTTCAGTGATGGTACTTTTTGCTTGAATTCATATTTATTGGGCATATTGCTGAATCAGGTTTTGGGAAGTCTGTTGTAAGAAGAGAAGCTGAAACAGTGGTGCAGAATTTTGGAACAAAACCAACTCCAAATTGTCTTATTTTTCTGAATTGTGATAAATTATACCATTTGAACAACAACAGAAGTAAAATGGAAGCAAGTACTTGAAAATTCTGTTTTCCTACAGTTCCAGATAGCCACTGTCTTTCAGTTTCTTACAGTGGTCTTCCACATATAAAAAATAACTTTTTTTTTTTCTTTAACTGGGTGAAATTTTCTCTGGCATTTCTGTCATCTCCATCATTTAATTCCTTACCATCATCAAAGACCTTCAAAAGTTTCTCAAAATAACTTATTTTTGTAAAACTAATTGAATACATTGAAAACCAATCTAGAGGCCCCTCAAAATAATTTTAGCAAAACTCAACTTCATGCATTTGCACCACGAAGAATATTCTTCTGCTTCAAAAAGCTAGATTTCGTCTTTCTATCAGCCTGATATACCTTTAACCTACTTCATGCATCTTTTATTCTGTATTAACATTTATTGCCACAGAAGTTTGCATTATTATTCTGTATTTATAGTACTGGAATTGTAGAGAACAAGTTAAAAATACTCAGTCATCAAGACACCAACCTTGTGGGCAGGGTACAGCAGCCATCAGCCGTCAGCCTGACTTGGGTTTCATAGCTATCCAGTGGGCAAACCACTTGTTGAACAGGAGGACATTCGACTGTGCTGCAATCCACACTGAACACTACGGAGGAAGGGGAGAGGAAAATTCCTTTTACTCATGCTTTAGAAGCTTTTTGCAAATTACTTCATCATATGCAACCAGTTATGCATCAGCCTTTTAAATTAAGTCAGAAAAATTATCTAATGAATGCATGCTCGGTAGGTAACATTACAAAAAGACTCTCATTCTCCCTAAGATTCACTTTTTTGAAATTACTGACTCGGGAAGCAACTGAACTAGTATTAGTCAATAAAAAAAGTTATACAAGTTAGACAGGCAACCTTAAACACTCATGACACCTGTGAACAATATTAGTTACTAGAAATGTACTAGGTTACTGAGGACATGTTTTCCTCACAGTTTTTAAAACAGTAAACAATTCATTATTTTTTTCCTGATTAAAGTCCATTTAAAGAGTAAAATATCTGGGCTATAGGAAATTTAAAGAATGTTAAACTATGGATTTATGCCTGCACATGTAAACTACATTTTTAAGGATTATTCCATTAGGTTGTGCTGTTTAGGTATTCATATATGGCGAAAATGAAATGCAAATCTATCTGCATTAACGAGATGAAGAATTCCGCATAACTAGTAAGACTGACCAACGCTTTTTAGAAAGCGACAAATGCTTAGAAATGCAAAAAAAAAAAAAAAAAAAATCAGGCTAAATATACATTTAATCCTATGAGTCATACTCAGGAAAGTTGAAACACATATTTATCTTATTTGGTCCTAAATCTCCCACGTTACCAAACAATGCCAGCTCAAACATTAGCTATCTGCTATCCCTTATCGTAATTATACTAAGAAAGTAGAGAATAAAACAGGGTTCCCTCTTTAAAGAAATCAGTTACCTACCAACTGAGTAGGCAGGATGAATAGCATGTTATCAGACAGAAAATTACACGGCACAATATCCCTGATTACTGATTAAACCTCACTTCAGTACGGACCCTATTATGACCACTTACTGTGGCACTAAAGGGGCTTGGCAACGCTACGCCACACTTCTGGCAAGAGCTGGTACCTTTCAAAGTCCCATCTTCTGCCTTCTAGTCCTGTATTTTTCAGGCTTGATGCTCAGAGGTACACAGCAATAATAATTCAATCGGTCATAATGAGACATCAGTCTGAGAATTACACCTACTTAGCATATTTCATTAAGCATTTAAATGAAACCACAAGTTCAATGAAACCAGCTTGCAGCTCATCAAGGTTAGGACCAGTAGGTTTGTCCCCAAGACCATTAACTTTCAAAGTACCCAAGTATGTGAGTATCCTCTGTATATGCGATATTCAGAATCTGCCTTTTCCCAGTTACTTGGGAAATGGAGCCATCTGTTAAATCGGAGCAACCTGACAAGTTCAAGAAGTTCTCTCTGAGAAATGCACAAATTTCAAGTCAGTTTTGTGAAGCAATGCAGAGAGTTGCTAAATTTAAATGGAAAGGCTCCAGTTACTAATCTCGACAATGGCAATCATTGAATTAACTTTTATATCTCTCCATAAAAACACAAAGATACCTATTTGCCTTTAAGACAGGAATACTTAATTTCATAATGTTTCACTTTTAAAAGCCCTAGGAGTTTTACGTTCCGTTTTATTGACAAATAACACATTCAAAACAGCTCTTCTGTGAGAACTATACATCTAGTTCCTCCATTATCACAACAGGCATTGAGAATTATGAGCTCATCAGTATGGCCCAACGCGACCAATACAATTGGCATGATTCCGTTGTGCCAAGTAACTACCAATGTCCAGTTTCCTGAATGTAAACTAGTAACATTTCTACCTCCCTGGATTCAAGGCCTCCTCCGCCTCCTCCCCAGGTAAGCAGCCTGGGGAAAACAACAGCTGAGTTCTACCAACAAGGTGCTACTACATGGCTATTTCTGTGGCCACCTTTCCTTATAACAGTAATAACAATGAAAGAAAAAACACAAGGAAACTCCCTAATCATGCCATCAAGTCTCAGCTAAGTTGCTCTTTCTTCCTAAATAGTTCAAATTCTTTCCAGTGATTACAGAGTGCTAGTACATGGCTCACTAACACTGACAAGCAGGACAAGCAGCCCAAACAGCCCTTCTTTATTTAAAAAGTACAAACCTAAGAAAAATTACAAACCCCAAATCAAAAGCATTTAAATAGAATCTTCTCAAGTAATTAAGCGGCTGTAGTCACTCAGTGGCTCCCCTGATTGATTTGACTTACCCATTTTTATTTATTTTATACCGATCTCTTACTAGTACCTCTAGTACCTCCAATTCTTGTAAGGAGTAGTAGGATTTGCTGAACAAAGGGTATGCACTGAGCTTATGCACCACCTCCAGAATTCTGTAATCCACACTCATACCCCACCTCAGTCTTCTCTCCAAGCTGCGATATCTTTATTATTACATTATGAGATTAATCATAGACAGGAACTCTGCAGGTCATCTGCTCCAGCCTCCTTCCCAAGCCAGGCCACGTACATCTGGTTGCCCAGGACCATGTCTAGATAGCTTTTGAATACCTCCAAGCATGGAGACTCCACCACCTCTCTGGGCAACCCATGACAGTGCTCGGTCACCTTTATGGTGAAAAAGTGTTCCCTGATGTTCAGAGGGAACCTGCATTGTTTCAGTTTGTGCCCACTGCCTCTGGTCCTGCCATTATGCAGCACCAAAAAGAGCCTCGTTCCATCTTTACATCTGCCCTTCAGGTATTTATACATATATATGCATTGATGAGACTCCCCCTGAGCCTTCTCTTCTCCAGGCTGAAGAGTCCCATCTCTCTCAGCCTTTCCTCACAGGAGAGAGATAAAGAGAGATAAGAGATGAAAGATATTTGAAGAAGGAAAAATAAGTTCCTACTTTTTTTTTTCCAGAATTAAACGGGTTTCTCAAACTGGTAAAAGTACTGAGCCAAACTTCCAGATAAGCTGAAAATATTGTAAGGTTACAGAACAGTCTATGGTTGGATTCTTCATTACTTACAAAGATGTCCCCCAGATTAGCTGTACTACTGTCCTAAAAAATAAAGACTTCAAAGCATTTGCCACCGAAACTAGTTTTGTTTTCACATCTTTCTTTGATTCCAATAATTACAAAGTGTACTTTTCATGAACAAGTTTATTATAAGCTGTTATTATGTATTTTATTATAAGCTAAAAAAAAATAAAATCCTGTCTAAAGAAAATTATTTTTGTCTATCCCAGAAACTTTAAGATTTAAGTATATAGTTTGACAAATACGTATCTTCAAGAACTCATAAACATATTGCAATTTCCTATCAGTGAAGATGCACCTGATCAACCTTTGCTTACAAGTCTTCAGGAACTTTCTTATGCACTGAATTTGTATACAGTAGCATCTGAGAGTTTACTGATTTTTCTGTGAGAATGTAGCAGAAACCCCACCATGGTTGCAGAGCCTGACATAGCCGCAGTAATGTGCAACCTCCTTTGTAGACTACAAAACCAAAGGTCTCTGATCATGAAACCGTTAACACGTAGGTGAAAATAACTTTATAGTAGAACATGTTAATACAAGTACATTAAGTTTCACCTTTACATATTATGCTGGCTTTTCAAAGAAAAGTACAGTTCAGGGCCAAGATCTAAATAGCTACCTATGCATCGAAAGGTCCAGGATCAAGGCAGTATTTGCATCTCTGATGCAACACAGTGGCTCAGCACAGGAAAGACTTCATATTTTTCCAGAAGTCACAGCTGTCTGAGGGTGCAGTACAACGGTACACAGTCTGCTTCTACAGCAGCTGAGAAGCATCACGTAACACCCTTTGCTTTCAGCTCAGGTGTATTTCAGCCCTCATGAATAATGCAACACACCATGACCACATCTGATCCCGGCAGTTACGCTTTCTGCTCTGTGAGAAGGAGAGAAGCAGCATGGAAGTACCTCTCCAGGACAATGCCTCATCCGTTTTACCGTTCTTCACACTTTAGAATGTGTTAAATACAACCAGAACAGACGGCGTTCCTGGACTTCCAATGCAGTTCTATCACCGTCTGAATCACTCCCTTAACTTCCCTATCACAGGTATTTCTCAACATGGACCCCTGCATTTGCCGATTTATTTTTTTTCCTCCCTCACAATCATTGTCAACTTATAAGCCATTTTTCCAGCTCCATTAGAAACTTAGCTGTAATTCTTCCCCACTCATTTTCTCCAGTCCTTTCCCAATCTCATCTCTTAAGTCCTCTCAACACCAGCTTCTAACAAAGCATGCAATAAAACAACACATGAACTATTTCTGTAAGCAACAGAGAATTAAAAAAAAAAAATATAGAAATCAGATTTCTCTCAACTATGCATAAAAACTTGATTTTGCTAATCCTTGTCCTTAGTGCAAGACTGCAAAAATTCCAGACCTGATTTTCAACGCTGAAGCCATACCAGGGTGGAGTACAAGCTACCTCCCTGTGCATCACTACCCACTACCTACTTAATTTTGCTGCTGATCTCAGACTTTCCATCAAGCCCTGACTACACAGAATTCCCCAAAGAAATAAGCCAAACAATAACATTCTCTTTACAATTGTGTTTAAACGAAGATTTGGTACCAGAAAAAAACCTCCGTTTCAGTAAGAGTAATTTTCAGGCCATGCAGGGTTGCTGGAGAAGGTGAGTGAATGAAAGCTCTGCCAGAAAGACCAGTAGAAGCATGACAAATGAGTAGTCTTTTCAACAGAGGTTGTCTCTAGCATGACAGGCGTTTCCCAATGCTTTCCCAAAGATGTCAGAAACTAAGAGATTACACTCCTCACCTCACCATATAGAGCAACAACAAAAAGTTATCAACAAAGATACAACAAACATCTATTGGATAACTGCCAAAGGAAACTATTTACTTTTCTTCATTCAGAAGTGGCACCTAGAGTTCCTATCACAACTTCAGCAAAATACCTTTTCAGTTAGATTTTAACTCCATCTTCAAATAAACAGACATGATTTTAAAAACATCATTGCTCATACTGTTTTAGCGTCTTAGCAAGAAAGGCACATAGACTCTCACAAATCTTGTTTCAGGTTATTTTTAATTTTACTGTCAACACATTACGCAGCTCCATTTGAGACCATTCATTCACACTGTCTTTAAGACAAAACCCTTACCTTTAAGAATACTTTTTAAGAACTTTAACTCCCAGCTAAAAAGTAAATTCAGTGCTCATTCAGTAAATTCACTGCTCATGAATGGCCAGTTATACACAGCTCATTGCGACAAAGTAGGTTGCTTATGAGACCAGACCACCATTATCTCACCTCTGAGCTTAGCAACTGCAGCAAAACAAAAGGAACATGACATACTTGTTCTCTGTAGGTACCACAACTGTGGTGAGATGCTTCGTGGAGCAACAGGTAAGAACGTTTAAGACAAATTAATCTGGAGGTTAGCAGACAGGTATGACTAAGCTAAGTTTCTTCACTGTCCATTTTAACTGAATGCCAATGCCTTTAATCATTGTATTCCTAAAGTAAACAAGGTAGAAGAGGAAGTGGATCTCAAAATGAAAGATTTTATTTTTATTCTAGCATTTAGTGTTAAGGAAACACTTCCTATTTTCCTTTTAGTAACTCAGTTGCCAATCAGAGTGTTTGAACATATGCAGTTCTCAGCAGAAGGCTCCAAACTCAAATGCCACTGTAAACTGGAGAGCAGTGACATCTTATTCAAGGAACAGAAATAAACACAATTTATGCTCTAATTGCAGAAACACTTTATATTGGCATAAGGCAGCACTGCTATCATAGGAAGCAGTCCTCCCAGCTTCTGGCAATTTGCTTCCACTAGAAAGCCCTTGCAGACACGGAGGTGCAGGAAGAGAAGTCTGGTAGCAGCACTCACAGAACTAAAGTTTTGAGGTCTGTGGCAAAGTATGGAAAACAGTTTTCTCTGTTTGACTTGTAAACTCCATAGACATTCTGACACATTCAGTACAACTAGTGACATTAGCCCCATATGAAACTCTCCATGAACACTTATCTACCAGGCCTTATACTGTCCCTTGTCCCATTTTTTTCAGTAACATGGCGTTAAAAACAGAGGAAACATGAAACAGAGCACTGCTAGTTTAGTTCCTCTCCAACTCTTCTTTCCTAGAGTTCTTCAGGATACCAGGTCAAACTCTGAAGACACAAGGTTTATTACCAGACTTGCCACGGGCTTAATAAATATTGCTGCTATGTAAGGAACGTTATGTGACTCCACTTTATGACCACTATTTCAGCAAATCTACATAAATAATTCACATAGTGTTCATATATACATAAAACCAGTTATATGCTACTACATATACGGTAGTACATGTATATACACATAGAGAATAAATGGCATAAAACAGGGCAGGAGGCAGGACGGACTAGATTACTTCCAGAGTCATCTAGTCTTTCAAGCTAAATTATTCTGTAAGTCTATAAGCCTGTGAATATATAATACTAAATCAAACAAGATATTCCATTGCTAGCTCTTAAACAAAGAAATTTATCTAAAACCACAGACACTGGTGAACATGAAGGAACAGCTTAGATGGAAAACAACAGCAAGGTTCATGCTGACTTGCACACTTAAAAATAAAATCCTTAATCTTTCTATAAGAAAAGGAAACATAAAAAAAAGATTGCCTTTTGTTTAGTCTATAATTTTCTTCATATATCAAGTACAAATGATATTCTTTATATAGGTACAGTTTATACTCTTTGGAAACAAGGTTCCTCTGAAAACTGAAAAAAGTTCAGATTTGCAAAGACTTGCCATTAAAAAAAAAAAGCTTTCTGTGGTAAGTAATTTGTAGTCTACTAAGATTTGTCAACATTCACCTGCTCCATTCCCTGTCTTCCAACGCTGTGTTGGCTTGTTTTTCCTTTGCGATCTTCCCACTATGTCAAATGGCAAACAAAAGAAACACGTAGACCAAAGTTACGAAAGTCAACTTGGACAGCAACTGAAGTCTAACTTGACAAAAATCAGGCTATGTAGTGACTAATAATTCCATATTAATAGCACTTCCTCCCCCCCTAAAGCCAAGGCACTGCAACAAGTAGGGGCCCCACTTACTCTGTAGTTTGTAGTTTAGCCATTACATCTTTCATCACCTGTCACTGTGGGGATACACGAGAGTACCCACCTACACGCCCCAGCCTCTTAGCCACTGCCTAAGAAACACACCTTCATCACCTCCCAAGGTAGGGGAGAACCCTCTGCTTTCCCTTAGCCTCTCCATTTCTAACGCCCATTGCAAAGCCCTACACTTCTCTTAAATTCCGGTAGTCCCCCCCAATCTCTTCAAAGTCTCTGCTCTTCCACCCTCCTAACACGTATCTTCATTTTTCTAGTCCCATGTACCTTCACCCCTTAACTCCCTAGAATAAAAAATACAAACTACTTCAGAAAGCAACATACACACAGGTACATAAATCCACTAACACAATGAATAATCACATATTCAATTTGTAGATTCTGTAATACTAACAAGCTGAAAGCAACCTTCAAGAAGTAACCTACAAAGCTAAGTTTGGCCTGTGTTATCTGCAAACTACAAGATGAGAATGCAAATAACAGTGGGGAGGACATGATCAGAGCTAACATACATTTTGAGAAATAAAAAATAATGCAAAGTCATCAAGATAAAATTCAGTAAAGGCATACTTGAAGTATATATAGGAAGAATTAAAATGTACAAATACAGTGGTTCAGTAGCAGTCATGCTACAGAAAGATCTTGGGATCACAGCATTTCACAAACTAAATATAATTCTTACAAAAGAGTCAGCTCTTACTTGGAATTTTGCATGAAAGACAGAAGGTAATTATTTTACAGTATTTCATGCTCCTGAAGACTCACCCAAAATAGTAGTCTGCTCTTGGACACCACATTTTAAAGACATGTGGATAAACTTCAGAGAACTTACCGAGGGTCAACATAACAAAGAAGGAGTCCAAGGAAACTATGCCATAAGAATTTACAGCTAATTCTAGATGAGAGATGACTAAGGTTTAACAAAATGTTACAGAGCAAAAATTATTATAAAGAGTTGTTCACTGACTACTCAGGAGAGAGAACAAAAAAGTTTGCTTAAGTTTCCACACAGGCAGATTTGCATTAGATACTAGGAAAAACTCAAAGAGAAACACTAGAAAATATAAAGACTGTACGATCATTTTCCGTGGAGGATTTCAGAAAATGTTAAACAAGTATAGTAAAGGCACAGCTTAAGCATACTTGAATCTGCTTGCATATAAGATTTTGGATTATACAATTTTATACTCTTGCTTTCATCCCTCTGTTTTTATTATTCATCTTTACCAAAGCCTGGATCAAAAAGCAGAATGAATTGCATTCTCTACTCCACTGAGAATAATAAATCACCAGAAAGGGTGATTTGTGTTCTCATGAAATGGAAAATGGGTAAATACTGAAAATGTTGTAAAGTCTTTCTCTATGCTCCTCCCATAAACCTTTTGGTCTCCAGTTTTTAAGGGTTGTCACTTTGTAATCTAGAGACATTTTAAAACAGAAACCTTAATTCCCTGTCCATGCACAGTATGTTCTTAACGTGAAAAACCTTCATATAATCTAATCAGTATATAAAGTTATGTCACTGTCACTAGTAGCATCCACAGAAATGTGATATTCTCACTAAGCTACTTTTCCCTTGTTGCTCAGTTTAAATTAATGCCTGAAGAAGAAAAGAAAGCAAAATTTATCATAAAATTTCTTATTTTTTAATAATTTTATAATAATTTTAATTTTGAAAAAGAATCAGAAGAATTTAGAGGCTATATAGGCTTTATTAGATGCAATTACATAGATTATTGTGCTTGTCAGACAGAAAAAATTGAAAAATTGAAAAAAATCGTGTCCACTTTTACCTGGTTTACATTCATAGAGATCACAGCATTCCCCTGGCTTTCCCGATGCCTTAGAAACCAATATATTCAAATAGCCAGGTTGGCAAACCTTCCTCAAACAGCCCGCAGGATTACACACACAGCGGCTTGGGAGTGGACAGCATTCACCAGGAGGAGCATAGCCTTCAATCAAGATGGAATCTTCTGGACAACGAGGAGAAAACTGGACTTCACAGCGGGCCTTGGAGCAATCAGGTTTCTCTTCTGAAAGGGAGAGAAAAATCAGCATGCCATAAACATCAGTAAAACAAAGTACTAAGCTGCAAAGACAAGTTCAGATAAAGCTACTTATCTTCTCTCTCAAAACAATAAAAAGAAAAGGAAACTGCTGCTGCTGAAACAATTAGCAAAAATTATGGAATATGCTTAAAAATATCTTGGTGTTTGCAAGATGGCAGATGCATTATGAAATATTTTACAAAAATTCTAATTTGTGCAATGTGCA